CATTGGCCGCAAGTACGCACGCGCGGACGAGCAATATTTCAGCGCAGGCTGACATTTGGGGACATTTGTCAGATGCAACGAGGCAATTATCATCCAGTCAGCGAACGAAGGCTGGTACTACGTGGACACTAACGTCAAAAAATGTAGTAGCGATTCAACCTCAAACAGACGGAAGTCAACAGCAAATTGTTTGTCTGCAGTGAAAAACTTGTCACTCATCTGGTGATTTCACTAACTTAGTGCTTGTTGACATGCATGTTCGACATGAAAAGGTCTGAGCCCTTTCTAGAAATAAAACGTCTTACGAACGTTAGTTGGTTCGACGAGCTGCTCGTTCATTGCGACGCCTGTCGTTGCTTGCTCGACGATAATCCTGGCGAATCCATGTGTATGGAATTGTTGTCGGATTCCAAGCGACATCCACAACCTGCGTATCATACTCATCGTAGTAGGGCTCCTCTACTTGACCTTCGTATTCACCCTCTGAAAGCTCAATAACAGCGTTGTCATCACTCTCAGCGCTCTGGTCATCGTTATTACTCGTCGCCATATCCTCGTCGGTCTGATCCGACGAGGGGCTTCGTACATCGAGACCCACAGCGCGTGAAACTGCGGCGTTAGACGCGTGAGTAGCATCAGTAGCAATAGAAGAAGGACCAGTCGAAGCTCGGGCACTAGCGCCACCAAGAAAACTAGCGCCATGGTCATCACTATGGCTACGAGGAGCGGCGCCATCACTACCTCTGTCACGACCTGCAGCATCACCACCATTACCCGTGACCGCTTGATCGTGAGGAGCAATAGCGTTTCGGCGATGCGCTGCAGCAGTAGTAGCTTGGTCATCTCGTACATAAAGAGCAGCAGACATGCAACCATGGCCAACAGGAGATCGACTGTGAGCAGTACCACCACCAGCAATTCGATCGTGGATAGTAGACGCAGTAGCGATTCGATCGCGACCTGCATGGGGTTGGTCAAGGGTAGCTGCTGTAGATGCGACTTGGTTGCGGTGAGAAACATCTCGGATGTACGTAGCATTAGGAATGCGACCTTGGCCTGTAGAAATAGTAGCACTTTGGCCGCGGGTAGTAGAAACAGCAGCAGCCCAGTAGGACACAGTATTGACTGAAACGTGCGGTGCGGCGCCTGCAATTTGGTCGCTATGACCAGCGTCTCGACGGCTAAAAGCAGCAATTCGGCCGTTACCGGTGATCTCTCGGCGTTGATCTGTGGTACGCGCCATTTGGCCATGGTCGGTGGCATCTTGGTTGTTAACTGTCGTAGCAACTTTCCGGTCGCTATCAGCGGTATGTCGACCGTGAGCAGCAACAACCCGGCCAACATTAGCGTCGTCTTGGCGGTGGTCTGCATCATCAGCGATTCGGTCACGGTCACCAGCTTCTCGGCGCTGATCTTCAGCAGTGGTATTATGGTCCAAGTTCGCGACACATCGACCGTTCGTCGTAGCAGCTTGGTAAGCACCAGCAGAAAACTGGTAGTCTGGATGGTCATGCCAGTAGTCAGGGAGCACTAACTGAGCTGCACATACCTCACGTTTATCGATATAGCCTTCGTGGGACGCGAAAAATGCACGAAGACTTTGTTGTACATCGCATTCGGGTACGTTTCGCTCCAGCAGACGTTTACGGAGCAGCTTTCTTCCAGAACCGGTGATTCGCGTGGTGGGTCTTTTAGCACGCTCGCATAGGGCCACGAAATCTTTAAAATTATACACCCCACGACTCGGCTTTTGAGGATTCATCAGACAAAGACGAAATCGAATATACTTTAACTCTCACACTTACCACCTTCCCATGTTCTTTCTCACATCTCAATCTTACGTTTCCCATATTTTTTTCTTTTTGGTAGGCATGGGACAACTGCAATTTTGATAGGCATTCTCTCCCCCGACACGAGCCCATCCGGTGGTGGTGACACAAGCCTATCCGGTGGTGGCGACACAAGCCTATCCGGTGGTGGCGACACAAGCCTATCCGGTGGTGGCGACACAAGCCCATCCGGTGGTAGCGACACGGTGGTGGCGATACGAGCCCATCCGGTGGTCACGACACAGAAAACAACTCCTGAGACTTACTCAAATCGGGGAAGCGAAGAAAATAATGCGCATTTTAGTGTGCTGGGCAATGCTGAGGGCATCCGATCCTGCGATATGAAGTTGTTCATGGTTGACGGGTGTACGGACATTGAATGGTTGATGGCGGGGCACTTACTATGCTGTATTTACTAATTTTTCGTTTTGCTACGCTTTTGTGAATGTGTGCGGAGGAACGAGTAAGGCTTACCGGCATTCGGGAAGTACGTCCTGAAAAACATTTAACGATATGCACCTACATATATTTCATTTTCGTGGTGTATACGGGCCATTATGGATCTCCTGATGCTGAGCATTGAAGATTTTCAGCTCAGTTGAGCCGCTGTGTGTGAGAGTGTGCCGTCATAAGTGTGAAGGCATGCCATCTGAGTTTGAGCTACCAGATTTTCCCAACGGTAAAGTTGGCATTAGCCTACGCTGAGCAACTACATGTATAACTGAATCACATTTCAATAGATACGGACTTGGGTAGAAACGATTGCTACTAAACGTGCAGTGACGATAACCAAATCTCGTGGTAACTTCAGTACATTCGTGCACTGCTTACTCGCCTCTTTTGACGAAAATATAAATCGGCACCTCACACTCACATTCACGTGTACACAAGTGCGTAGTTTCCAACGACGGCAGAAGTGTTTCGTGCAGATAGAATTGTGTCTTGGACAAACCGCACTGGTGAGCGCAGCAACTCTGGCATCAGGCATACATGCGAGCTAATCGGCGATGTGATTTGTGGCTGAAGGATCAAAGCGCAAGTTGTTTGCGAACACGATTGTGGCGCTTGTGAACGGAGACTTAGTTGACAGATCGATCTTTTTCACATCTTGAGCGTAAATATCGGCATTTTGCAGTCTTGGCCAGCTCACTACGTGTTCACTCAATATCCCATTGCAACGACCTACTAGAACACGACGTATTTCAATCCCAATGCTCGATCGAACAGCAGTTGAAAGCACAAATTGAACTACGATATTCCCGACGCCAGAGCCTATATCCAGAAATACATCCCAAGCCCCAATCGCACCAATCTGGTGTATTGAGGCAATCATCGACGACACCCCACTCGGTAGTATCTCCCCAGCATTTAGATGAGCTGCACCGGGTGGGTACACGACCTCGCTCCGAGATATATTCTTGAACATCGTAATTACAACTTGATGCACATCACGTGGTACATTGTTGTCATGGAGTAATGAGCGTGGGTCATAT